TCTGGCAAGTACACACGCCCTAGAGCAAAAACCCCCCCCCCCAAAAAAAAAAATTAAGCTTTGAGTGGGACTAGTCCACAGTTATTAAAACTGCTGAGATAAGTAAACTGAGAACCAAAAGGAGCCAGCTGCAACTGGCCAAGGACAGCTACGGTGACCTCTGACCAGGCCTGTTTGGTGCAGCACCAAGGGCAGAAGGACGGAAGGAGGCAAAGAGGAAGAGACTTCCACAGACGGAGCGAGGGACCCAGGAGCCGGGGAGGAGAGGAGAAAGGACAGCAGAGGAGGACCTGCCCACCGGGCCAGGGACAGCTCTGGAGGGGAGCTTTAGGGAGAAGATGCATCGGAGTGCTAAGCTCAGTGCCTGGCAACCCCATCAGCTCTTCGCACAATGCTGGGGAGTTATTAAGAACATGGAACGGGGGACCAGCAGATGGTGTGATGGTTACAACGCTGGACTCCCAAGTAGTCGACCACGGCTCAAGTCCTGGACTCAGCGACTTAAAGCTCACACTGGGTGCATGTGCATGTATGCCCAAGATCCTGAGAGAAGAATGGAGAAGGGAAGGCAGCATGGCCAGCCCCCAGGAAGGTGATTTCTTACTCTCTATATTTCCGGTGAATATACATGCCCAATAGCAAAAATCTCTCAAAAAAAACAAAAAAGAAAACATGGAATGGACCAGCCCTAGAAAAGGGAGGAGACACATCTTTCCCCAGAGTAAGTGAGACAGGAGGTAAAGGCAGATGTGAACACGTGTACATTCGGGGGCAGCACCCCAGGAACCAAGGGGTTCAGCATGGGGGCACCAAAGCTCACTCTAGGGAAGGACACAGTCCTTCAGAGGAGAAGCTGAGGGTGGATGCTCAGAGGTTTGGGGAGATAAAGATTTACAGGATCTTCAGAAGAGGCCAGCAAAGAATGCCAAGCAGAGCTCACACTTACCTCGATAAGGTTTTTAGCTTTGAAAACATCTCCAATCTCGCAAATGATGATGTCATCTTTAGTTCTTCCAAGTCCGTCAAAATGAACATGCTGAACCACCACCTACGGGTGACAGGGGGCACTGACTATTACACAGGCAAGAGAGCAGGGGTATCACTGTGGAGCATGACCACCACCTACGGGAGACAGGGGATGCCGAACAGTACCTACGGGTGACAGGGGACGCCGGCCAGTACCTACGGGAGACAGGGGACGCCAACCAGTACCTACGGGAGACAGGGGATGCTGACCAGTACCTACGGGAGACAGGGGACGCCTACCAGTACCTACGGGTGACAGGGGACGCCGACCAGTGCCTACGGGTGACAGGGGACGCCGACCAGTACCTACGGGTGACAGGGGACGCCGACCAGTACCTACGGGTGACAGGGGACGCCGACCAGTACCTACGGGTGACAGGGGACGCCGACCAGTACCTACGGGTGACAGGGGACGCCGACCAGTACCTACGGGTGACAGGGGACGCCGACCAGTACCTACGGGTGACAGGGGACGCCGACCAGTACCTACGGGTGACAGGGGACGCCGACCAGTACCTACGGGTGACAGGGGACGCCGACCAGTACCTACGGGTGCCGGGGCCGCGGACCAGACGGGTGACAGGGACGCTGACCAGTACCTACGGGTGACAGGGGACGCTGACCAGTACCTACGGGAGACAGGGGACGCTGATCAGTACCTATGGGTGACAGGGGACGCTGATCAGTGCCTACGGGTGACAGGGACGCTGACTAGTACCTACGGGTGACAGGGGACACTGACCAGTACCTACGGGTGACAGGGATGCTGACCAGTACCTACGGGTGACAGGGGACGCTGACCAGTGCCTACGGGTGACAGGGACGCTGACTAGTACCTACGGGTGACAGGGGATGCTGACCAGTACCTATGGGTGACAGGGGACGCTGAGCAGTACACCAATAAGAGAGCGAGTCTCACGATGGAACACATACAGCCACCTCAACATGACAGAAGACACTGATCATTAGAGAGAACGTGAGGTGAGGGAGTGGGAGTCAAGACTGAACACAGATACCTAGGATTCATTTCAAGGTTTCCTTCAAGTTTAACAACCCACACTTCCTACTTCTGCACTTTATTCTTATTTTTCGTATCTTTTCAAAAAGTCAGTCACCTGGCCTTACCTTGCTAGATTCACACTTCCTGTGGGCAAGATCTACGAGTTCTCTCCAGCCAGATGAGCCAGGATCAGGCAGGCCAAAAAGGCCCCTTCCCCATCCTTCCCAACACACTCCAAGCGCTGGCCTGCAGGTGAGGCCTGGCCGTGACCCTGTCTTGACAGCTGTGTGCACCTGGATAAACATCCTGTGTGGATTCCACGCAGCACAAAACATGCTGGCTAGAAGGCCCTCTTCTCTCCTCTCCTCTCCTGGCTGGAGAGCAAACTTAAGAGTCAGAAAGACATGTATAATTCTCAAAGGCAAAAACATGTCAGAAAGTGTGATTCGAGAGCCAGTCTTTTCTCTGGGAGCAGAGAACAGAAGTGTTAACTTAAGCATAATCTGGGTTCACTCTTGAAATACCTTTGTTTGTTTTGTTTTGAGATTTCTGCCACAGGGCACGTGCTCACCGGAGAGAGAAAGACTGAGAAAAGGAAACTAAGAAATTACCCCCAAGGGAGAACGGCCATGCTGAAATCCCTTCTCCTCCACTCTCCCTTTGGAATTTTGGGCAAACACATTGTGTCCAATGTTTTTCCAGCCGCTGGACCCAGGACTTGAACCACAGAGTGTGAGATCCAGAGCCTTAACCACCACGTTACCTGCTGGCCCTACTTTTCTTTTTTAATAACACAGATACAAACGTGTTTGCCTAAAGCTCCCACGTAAACAAACTGAAGGGCCAGCTCCCTGGCACAGCGGGAAGCACTGCTCCTGGGAAGATGGATCTCATGGTTTGAATTCCTGACCCAGTCAGCCTGAAACGTGCAGGGAAGCGCGTCCGTGCCCAGAACCTAGCAGGCTGGAGGACTGGGGGAGGGGACTGTGGCACAGAGGGTGCTCACACCTCTATCATGGATAAAGGAAAAAATTTAAAAACAAACAAAATCGCTGAAGAAAACTTACTTCCCTAAAACAAGAAACTAGTTTGCTAAAAGTCAGTGGGTTTTTGCTGTCGCTGGTTACAGGTGCATCTCTGACAAAGGCACTGAGGCAGCTTAATTCACCTAGGTCTCCCAGTGACTTATGGGAATGTTTCTAATAGCAATCACAGCAAGACCATCAACAAAATACTCACGTCTTTGTTTTCAAGAATTTCCTGTTTAGCCTCAGGTTCAACTTCAACAAACTCAGCTTCTTCTCCCAATGCACCAAAATCAGGACCGCTTGATGGGAGAGGTTCCAGACTCTACGGGGAGAGACCACGGATAAATGAGCTTGTAACACACAGCACAATGAAACACTCGCTCCTGGTTTTATCTTTATACGTGGCCCCAGAAAATTACACATAGCTGTCTCCTCTGGCAAGGGGAGGCAAGGGGACGGGCTGGGGAACAGGGGAGACAGAGGCCACTGTTCACATGTAAGTCCGTGGACTGGTCTCACTAGTTATTAATAAATAACACCGAGATAAAGATTGATTAGCCTTGGGAACCAGCAGTTAGCGTAATGGCTATGTTGCTGGACTCTCACGTAGTTGACCGCAGTTCGCGTCCCAGACCCGGTGACTTAAAACTCACTCCGGGCGCGTGTGCGTGTGTGCCCAAGATCCCGAGAGTAGAATGGAGGAGAAGGGATTGCGGCGTGACCATCCCCCCTGGGGGGTGATTTCTCACTTTCTGTCTCTATGTCTCTCTCTGTCTGTCTGGCAAGCACATGCGCCCTATAGTGAAAATCTCTCAAAAAAAAAAAAAAAAAAGATTGATTAGCCACAGGCTATGCATGAACCCATGATGACTGGATCATGAATTGAGGATTCTGACTAATTTAATTCCAGACACCTGAGGCCCACTTGAAGGAAAACTATAGTTTAAAAATATGTCACAAAGACATTTATCAGGGAAAAGTAAAAAACCTGCTTTCCAGTTGTTACAGAAAGTATCTTAATTTCCTGAATCAAAATTGCATACATTTTAGAATAGCTACACGGACAAACCAAATTATTAAGAAAACATCATTTTGTTGGTTTTTTTTTGTTTTTGTTTTTGTTTGTTTTTTGAGAAGCTTTTCCTATAGGGGCACATGCGCTCGCAAGACAGAGAAAGACAGAGACAGGAAGCGAGAAATCACCCCCAGGGGGGATGGCCACGCCACAATCTCTTCTCCTCCATTCTCCTCTCGGGATCTTGGGCACACATGCAGACGTGCCTGGTGTGAGTTTAAGCCACCGGGTCCAGGACTCTAACCACAGTAGACCACATGGGAGTCCAGCAACATAGCCATTACGCCAACCACTGGTCCCCAAGAAAACATTCCCTAAGGACCTTGTTTTCCATTTCAGAAAGCCTCATTCACATTTTTTGAGAGGTTTTCGCTATAGGGCGCGTGCGCTCAACAGACAGAGAGAGACATAGAGACAGAAAGCGAGAAATCACCCCCCAGGGGGGATGGTCACGCCGCAATCCCTTCTCCTCCATTCTCCTCTCGGGATCTTGGGCACGCACGCACACGCGCCCGGAGTGAGTTTTAAGCCACCGGGTCCGGGACGCGAACCATGGTCGACTACCTGGGAGTCCAGCAACATAGCCATTACTGCTGGTTCCCCTCAATCGCATTTTAAAAAACCTGCATATGCTCATAAAATGGGCCAGAAAGCAGTCACTTTCTGTAAATACGAACTGACACCATCTCAAAACACTAAAACACCTTTTGAACAAGGATTTCTCCATAGGCTGTGCCTGGTTTTGTATTTCTGGAAAGACACAATAACACATACTGTAACAACACAGATACAGCATCATATATCTAACATAACATTCTATACTGCTTCACTCGTTCATCACCTGTCCCTGTGTGTGCCTGACCATAGTCACTGTGGCACTTGCTTCGGTGCAGGGATCCCCAGACACTCCTAGAGACGGAGGCAGAAGGCCCAGCCAGGGAGGCACCAGGGGTCATTACAAATGGGCAAGCCTGGGGACAACTGTGCTAACCGGTGTGGCGACTTCCTTGTTCCACTAATTTTCAACCATTAGGCCCTTGTCAAGTGCATGGGCAGACATGCCTGACCCCCACATGTGGGGCGGTGCGGTTCCTGAGCCTCTCTCGCCCCTTCCCTGGCATGCTCAACAGCCTCCAGTCAGTGAACCTCCACTGTCTCTGCTTCTCTGAAAAGGTAATGAGCAGCATCGTGTCCCCTTCCCCATAGCTGTCCTAAAAGACTGATGGTCTCCAAAGGCACCTCCAGGGACAGAATCCAACAAGATCCCTTAGCAGGGCAAACAAAGAACTCCTGTAAGGCCCAGGACTGCTTCCAGTTTCCTCTGCCCCACTCACCACACCTCCCACCAAGGCTTTCACACGCCTTGCTCCCTCTTCCCGAATAACTTCCCCCGAGGAGTGCGGAGCACACAGGTCCCCCGTAAATGGATGGCCTCGGTGAGCCAGCCTTGGCTTTTGCAGACAGAAGCAGTCCCTCTTTTCCAGGGACAGCTCTTGGTGTTAGAAGCATGTCACCTTCATGGGTACCTCTTTCTCTTCCTTATTTTGATTTGCCCTCGAACCTGAAATACTCAATAAATACTGTGGAATGGTGAGTGAGTGAGATTTCCTTCTGTTCCTTCATTGAACAAATATGTCCTGAGTGCCTACTGTGTGCTAAGCGCCAGGCTCACAGCAGGGAACAAGTCCTGTCCTGTGGCTGAGGCTGAATTTTACTTAAGAAAGAAAAAACAAGTTAGACAATACTGGATATGTATATATTGGGTCATGAAAAGTCATGACACATTTTGCATAGAAAAATATTCAGAACCAGCAGTTGGCATAATGGCTATGTTGCTGGACTCCCATGTAGTTGACCGCAGTTCAAGTCCCCGACCCGGTGGTTTAAACTCACGCCAGGCGCCAGGCACTTGTGCACCCAAAATCTTGAGAGAATGAAGGAAATGGGGCCAGCAGGTGGCATGGTGGTTGAGGTGCTGGACTCCTATGTGGGTGTCCCCTACCATAGTTTGAGTCCCAGACCTGATAGCTTACTTTCTCACTTTCCCTCTCTGATGAATTAAATAGTAATAATAATATTAAATAAACAATTCGGGACCAGCAGTTAGCATAATGGCTATGTCACTGGACTCCTATGCCATTGACTATGGTTCAAGTCCAGGATCCAGTGGCTTAAACTCATGCCAGGCACGTGTGCATGCGTGCCCAAGATCCCGAGAAGAGAATAGAGAAGGGATTGTGGTGTGGCCATCCCCCTGAGGAGTGATTTTTCACTTTCTGTCTCTCTCTGCCTCTCTCTGGCAAGTGCATGCATCCTATAGCAAAAACCTCTCCAAAAAAAAGAAAAAAGAAAAATATTTCATGACTTTTCCAATAACTCAATAGTTTTACATCACTATCCTTCTGGGAGTTTTTTGTATGATATTTAAGAAACTTAATCATTACAATATTTCTCAGAAATACAAAAAAATTTAAACTATGGGGGCCAGCCAATGATGTGGTGAAGGCATCTGGATCCCATATGGTCACATGTGTGGTTTAAGTCCAGGACCCAGAGACTTGAAAATCACATCAGGTATGTGTGTGTCCAAAATTCTGCGAAGAATGGAAAAGGGACTGCGGCATGGCTATCCCTCTGGGGGAGGGAGGGAAGTGGGAGTGACTTCTCACTTTTCTCTTCTCTCTTTCTCTCTCTCTCCAGTGAGCACACACACCTTATAGCAACAACAACAAAAAAATCATGATTATATATGTATATTTTCCTTAATCTGAATGCTTAGCAAATAAGCTTTGCCTGGGCACAAAGTTATTATGCTAAAATTTCCACTATAATACTCTGGTTTCTCTTCAGATCGTATAATTTCTACAATCTCAAAGCATGAAACAAGTTCACCAAAGACCTGCCAGACCCATCTGTCTTCTTTAAGAGATGATGTCTTGGGACCAGCAGTTAGCATAACGGCTATGTCACTGGACTCCCATGTAGTCAACCATGGTTAGAGTCTCGGACCCGTTGGCTTAAACTCACGCCGGGCGCGTGTGCATGCATGCCCAAGATCCCAAGAGAATGGAGGAGAAGGGATTGTGGTGTGGCCATCCCCCTCTGGGGGGTGATTTCTTGCTTTCTGTTTCTCTCTGTCTTTTTGGCGAGCGCACATGCCCTACAGCAAAAACCTCTTAAAAAAAAAAAAAAGATGATGTCTTCATAGTGCCATAGTTACATCAAAGCTTGATGTCCTAAATTTAATTGTCCTAACTTAGATTCATTCATTTGCTAAAAATTAAAATCCTACAAAGTGACAAGCACATTCAAAACCCTGACCCTCATCATTTTCATTCCTGTGTCCAGAAAAATGGGAGCAGGGTATTTGGTTAAAATGAATTAAAATTAATAGTTTTAGTTAGTCCTTACTCTTTAAGTAGATCAGTGTCCAATCAGTCAACAAGATTTTATTAAGCACTATGAGCCAGGCTTGTACAGGGCAGTGGACGTTGCCTTGAAACATATGAGACACATTTAATGAATTACAAACAGCACCTTTGAAGTGATAGAGACTAGAATCAAATAGAACATAAAATAATACATAATAGATATAAATGATAAAATAGCCTCACAGAACATTCATATTGCCTAAGTTTGAGAATACTAGGTGCCAAACGTCAAAGGCCTTACAGTGAGCCCTGGTCAAAAAGTGCACAAACACTGGCTAGGGAGTCATAGAGGTCAAACTGAAGAATGGAACATTCATCAAAGGAGCAACAATTTTAACATCGAAGAAGTTCTATAGAAGCAGACATTTTTTCCTGCAGTATCTCTAACATCTAAAATAGTCAGGCATATAATGAGATCAGTAACTATTATCTGAACAGGACCCACCCTGTGGGACAGCCATAATGCAACACTCTGCATGTGTGCCCACGGCCCTGACCAGGCTGAGGTTGGGGGTGAACTGCAGCATGAAAGACCTTGTTAGGATTGATCGATCTCTCTCCTCCCCCCATAAATTAACCTAAAAAATAGCTGAACAAATGAATAAATGCTTGCTTTGTTCAAAATGCTACAAAGATTGAGTGCAAGCCAAATAAGCTACAGTTCCAACTGTAACACATAGAAACTTACAATTTAATAGGATAAGGCAAAATTGCAGAGCTAGAACAGGGTAGAATACAAAGGGCACCAGAGGACAAGTGTCAGGGAAAGTGGTAGTACCACCAAATGCATGCGGGATAAAGAGGTGGTTTATGCAGGAAGCGACTTGAGCTGAATTCTAAAAGATGGGGAGATTCTGACAGCTAAACACGTGTGTGGGAGAGCAGACAGAGAAGGGTCTGAGTGGACTAGCACAGTCCAAAGCTTCTGGGAAAAGCAATGGTGTTAACTTGAATTAAAGGTCTGTGAAGGGAAGTCAGGTCCGATTCTGGATGCCAGGCTGAGTCTGTGCTAAGTCCTTTTAGAAGTTGGTGGGGAACTGCAAACGTCTGGGCAGGGCAGTGAAACGATCCACCTAGGGTAGAAAGTCGGGTCGGGGCTGGAGCTCTGGAAGTCTCGGTGCATGACCTTGGACAACCAACTCTGTCTCCGCCCTCTGCTAAGACTGCATAAAGGAGAGGGGTTTGGCAAGCAGTTAGCACACGCGAGCTGCCCAGTAAGCACTTCAGACGCCCATTACCCCCGCAATTCACCAACAGCTGGAGAGGGAGGTCCTGTGGCTCCCTCCACTCTAACGGAGCAGTTAAGGCCCTGGGCGCTTCCGTCCGCACCCCCGACACAGGAGCAAAGAGGACTCCTCGGCAGGTGCGGGTCGGAGGACTTGGAAGAGTTTTTGCTCTAGGAGTCTACAAAGACTCCAGAGCGGCTAAGCGGGGAGAGACAGGTGCCCAGGAGGGAGGCACCAAACCGCTGAGAGCGGAGGAGCTCCCTCATGGAGAGAACGTGGGCTGGGCTCGAGGCCTTCCCGGGCTCGCTAGTTCTTTCTGGCCACTGGTTCGCCGAGTGACCTTCAGCAAGTCACGTCCCTCTGAGCATCGGTTTCCTACTCCGAGGTCTACGAGACCCGCTGGCCTCCGGCGACAACTCTGCGGAGTCGCGAACCCCGGCCCGCTGCCCTAGACACTCTCTCCGCAGGGGAACCGCGGCCGCAGCCCCGACAGCGTCTCCCCGCGTCGCCTGCCCCCGGGACGCTGGGCCTCTTACCCGGGCGTGTACAGTCCCCATGGCTCCCTCTCCGGCCGCAGCCTCGCAGAGCTGCTCGGGACCAACCAAGACTCTGCTGGTGAGGGCAAAGGGCGGTTCCGCGGTGTCAACGCCGCGGGTCAGCAGGGCTCCCACAAGTCCCGGGAATAGGCGCACAGGCGGCGGCCATGATGGCCCACCCTCTCCCCGCCCCCTGGCTCACGGAGCCTTTGCTTATTGGTCCTTGTGATCTCGTGACCCGGATGTTCACACGAACGCCGGGAAGCCCTGCGGCCTGGAGACTGCGCAAGCACAGTGCGTCCAATGAAGCCCTTGAAGCTGCTGGCGCTCGGAGGGCGGTGTGCGTGTTGGTGGGCTGGAGCCTGGGAGAGGTCAGATCCGCTGATGGGTGCTACATCACGGAGCTCTCTCTCTCTCTTAACCTTTCTGGCCCCCCATCCCGGTGGGTGCAGTGCTTGTCTCCATGAGCTGGCGAAACCCAGAGGCTCAAAGGAAAGACCCCAGGTTCGACCAACTCTGGCCTACAGCTGTGAAGCTTTAGCATCTAGGGGTACACGAACTGGGTGGGTACCCTGACTCCTGGTCTTTTGGCCACGAGGGCCCTTGAGGTCCCCAAGGGCTGAGTAATACCTTTGGCAGAATGAAGCTGATGGTAGTATCTGTTTCCCCGGGTTGAGTTAATAGGCACAGATGTTGAAGCAGGAGCGACTCCATCTTGGAGGATCACCTCCATTATAAACTGTTAGGTTCCTATTACTAGAAACTTACCTTCTCCTTTTTGCCTAAAAATGATTAGCACTCCTATTGTTTTTAAACTCCACTTTTCCTAGTTGCCTTAAAATAAGGTCCAGTCACTGGACCTTGCCCGGAGACATGAAGACCATTGAGATGCCACTGTGTTTAGGCAGGGACAAAATATACCCTTAGGAATAGTTAACCTGCTTGTTCTGCTTCTGTAATGCGCTTTTGCTTTTTTTGCTTTTACATTGTAAAATCCTACCCCACCCCCTAAGAAAACAACTCTACCCCCTACCCTTCCAAGCCCACCATGTCAACCAGGAAAAGAGTGTGATTCTTGCCTTTCTAAGCGCCACTCACCTTGCACCTGGGGCTGCAGGGTTTTCAGAGACATGAATCCCCCGTATGCTGCTGGCTTAATTAGTAAACTCCAATAAATTTGTCTTTGTCTGCATGTCCTCTTTTTCTCACCAACTAGACCATAACATTTGGAGGCTCCAGCAAGATGGGTACCTACCAGTACTCGGGTGAGGCATTCCAGGATAGTGGCCTCACTTGGGCTGGCGGCCAGCTGCCCAGAGAGTGCTCTAGGGGAGGATTTGCCACCTGGGATTTCCCAGGTCCCAGAGCCACCTTTTGGGGTTGTTGACAGCCAGGCAAGAGATGCTGACTACTCCCTCCAAAACTGTGGAGTTCTAATGTAAGACCTCTAGAAGCATTTCTTTGGGAATTCCTATCCTCTTCTTTGGAAGACAAACTGATAAGTATGGGTGTCATAGGATGGGAGAGTGTTGAGCTGAGTTGGAAAGGCCTTGGTTCTTTGGGTCCAGATCACTAAAATTAGAGACCTGTCCCTAGGCACAAAATAAAGCTACAACCACAATGAAAGTAGGTAGGAAAGAGAACTAAATAGGAAAGAAAGATTACAGAAAAGAAGTAAGTACACCCAAAAGACCGTTGGGCGGGCAGGTTGCTAGGTAGCAACTGCTGAGTTTGGAACTGGTTTAGGTGTTATTTTTATTACTAGAGGTGATCATGAATATTTATTTAAGGGTGGAGATCTGTCACACTATCTGCGCCCTTTGTTTGAATCCCTGGGCTTTCTCCTGAGCATGCATCTCTTTCACAGGTGAAGAATCTGAGGAATTTGATTACCTAATGGCATGCCCAGTGTGAGCCATGATGCTTAATTAGGATAGACTGCCCAATTAGTTTATTGCCCCAGTGGGAATCGGGATGTTGACCAAAATGTCTGGTTGGGTCTTTTTGTATTTATGAGGCATGATAAGAGGGAAATTTACAACCATTCCTATGTGTCTTCCTCAGGTACCAAGGAAGAAAAATGGTATTTGCCTTGCCTTCCCGGCGCCAGAACCTTCGGTATAAGAAGGCATCTCGTGGAGGGTCTGGTTGTAACTCCTGATAATTTGTGATTGACGTGACATGTGTCCTTCTGCTATTCTCTTAGGGCTGCCCCTTTATTACTAGCTAACTGCCTACCACACAGGGTTGGCAAGGGAAGGCCCCCTGAAATCTGGCCCTCTGGGTCTAGGGTTCGAGTCCCTCCTCAGGCAGCTGGATTCAGGGCTGACCAGACGCAGTTATAGAACCCCTACTTAGATTCCACCAGACATGCTGGAATCTGAGAGCTAGATAGTAAGGGGTTCGAGTGCAGCCCCCAGCCCTTAGACTGTGGGAAAGCAGGGTTTGACTCCCTGATAGGGTTTGAGTCCGAGTATCTTAGGGTTTGAGTCCCTGGGTATCTTAGAATTTTGTATGGGTTTGTAGTGCCCTGGTTGTGAAGTTCCCAAAAGACCGCCAGAGTGCCGTTCCGATGTAAACACACAAGGGTCGCTTTTGTTCAGGCTAGAGCCAGGACTCCCAGCCTTACTGGCATAGCGGGTCAGAGTTGAAAGCCCCGTTGTTAGTTGGGCTGGGTTTTTACTTGGCTGCTCGGGGGGAGGCCTAGGGGTGCTGAGGAATGCACTCGGGCAACGGCACTCGGGCAACGATACATTGGTTTAGATTACAGGGAATGTATCTGTCTCTAGTTGATTCTTTAGTTTATCGGTTATTAAGCCATTGAGTTAGGCAAAAAGTTACTTTAGGTTTCTGGTATCTCCTTTGTTTCTTTCCTTGGTCAGTCCCGGTGGGGTGATGGTCTCATGACTTTTCTGCGTGTCCGGCTCGCCTTTTAGAAATATGCCATCCCTCAGTAAGGTGGGACAAAATGGAGTCGCTCTGGTTCTGCTCTGGTCCTTCATTTCCCTCTTTCCCAAGGACATAGTGGAGCCCATCGTGAGTCCCTGTTATTGAGCTCTATCTAAGCAGCCACGGGCTGGTACTGGGACTTTAGTGCCGTTCATTGGACAGCACTGATTCGCTCGTGGATGAAAGCGATCAACCTGCTGAGGATGCAGGGACTGAGGGCAAGGAGGAGAAGGAGAATTAGCAGGGGACCTAAGAGGGCAGAGACCAGAGTGGTGACCCCAGGGGAGGAGGTGAACCAGGAATCAAGCCAGCCTTGGGCCTGTCGCGTTCTCTTTTACGTTTTGCGAGGCCCTCCCTGGTTTGGCCATTGACTCCTTTACTGCACCGGAGCGATAGATATAGAAACGGCACTCCTCTCCAGTGGCAGCACAGAAGCCCCCTTATCGTCAAATTCCTTTGTCAGTTATGAATTTTTGTCAGAGCATTAACTATGACTATAATCCTAATGTTATGTCCTTAAGGAAATTCACAAAAAGGATGGAAAGAGAATGTACTCTTCTAAGTACAGATTTCTAGGAAAAAAATCTAATCATTTAACTGGGTAAAATCTTCATTGTCTGTGTAAACTGATTCGTGTACTAAGCTGTTAAACCAAAATTAACCAAAGAAAAGTAAGAAAACGTTTGACCAAATTGCATGCTAAGTAGCCAATGAGTTAAAGAGGTAAAATTGGTATAAAGGGATATAAATCCAATGTTAAACATGGACTCACAGAAACATTATGACCTGGTTCCCTCTGAGTCCTCCTTATAATTCTTGTTGTTAACATTATTTATTTATTCCTGTTATTGGTCTTTAAATTTTATATAAAAAATATTGAGAGGGTCTATTAGTAAGATCGTTCAGTTTTGGGCCAGCAGGTGGCGTGGTAGTTAAGGACCCTGGAATCCCACGTAGCCAACTGCAGTTCGAGCCCCAGACCTGGCGACTTGGTTTCTCACTTTCTCTCTCTCTCACTCTGTCCCAGTGAATGAGTGAATGAATGAATGAAGTTAAATAAAATAATTATTTTTTAAGGGACCAGCAGTTGGCCTAATGGCTATGTCGTTGGACTCCCATGTAGTTGACCGCAGTTCGCGTCCTGGACCCAGTGGCTTAAACTCATGCCAGGCGCGTGTATGTGTGTGCCCAAGATCCCAAAAGGAGAATGGAGGAGAAGAGATTGCGGCGTGGCCATCCCCCTTGGGGGGTGATTTCTTGCTTTCTGTCTCTCTGTCTCTCTCTTTCTGGTGAACACACGCACTCTATAGCAAAAACCTCTCCAAAAAAACATTGTTCAGTTTTATACTGAAAAAGTTGTTAAACAAATTTTGTTATTCTTTGTACATGTTCATAAGCTGCTGGAGGATGCTAAATGTTAGGGGCGCCAAAAATCAAAAATTTTTATCAATACAGATGTACGAAATTCTATTTTTACAAGCTTAATGACTCCTCTAAAAACATCAGATTTCCCAAGGTGGAAGAGGAAAACATAAGCTAGGGCAGTTATTAAAAATTGGGCCTATATATATCTGGGACAAAAGCTAGAAAACTCCTGTCCAACAGCCCAACAGGGTAGGAGCCTCAAGGAAGGGGGAGACAAGTTCAGGCTAGGGCTCCAGGCTGCCTTCTCCCCCAACCCCTTGGCTTCTTGTGCTCCTTCTGTTTCTTTTAGTTAGGGCTCTTTCCCACTCTGCTCTCCCCTTAGTTAAATGATCAAGAGGTCTAGCTAGAAAAACAAGAATTTAGATTACTGCATTCTCCAGCTAGTGCTTTTGTATAGGCGATAAGGCAGGTGCCTTGTGAAACCTGTAAACCGGGCCTCGCCCCCCCTGACCTGTAAACCGGGCCTCGCCCCCCCCTGACAGTACTCAGCTGCTCCTTGCAGGATTTATTGAAACTTAGGTTTACTTCTCAGTGTAGGACAATTCAGAACAGCAGAAGAGCTCCCAAATAACTCAGAGAAGTGTTATAATGAAATCGGCAAGGCACTTTAAAACCTTTGATTTAACTCTCACTTTAGCAGTTGGCGTAATGGCTATGTCGCTGGACTCCCACGTAGTCGACCGTGGTTCATGTCCCAGACCCGGTGGCTTAAACTCACACCGGGCACATGTGCGTGCGTGCCCAAGATCCGGAGAGGAGAATGGAGGAGAAGGGATTGCGGCGTGACCATCCCCCTTGGGGGGTGATTTCTCACTTTCTGTCTCTCTCTGTCTGTCTGGCGAGTGCATGCACCCTATAGCAAAAACCTCTCAAAAAAAAAAAAACAACTCTCACTTTAACAGCATCCAGTAGTCACTCGTGGAAATCCTGGCGGCTGGGAACTGCTCCGAGGGCAGGATCTGGAAACAGCCCAGATCAGAGCCTCTGCCTCAGAAAAAACTGTTTCCGATGCGGGCAGCCCGGGCGCTGAACAATGCCCATGACTGGCATCCTAATGTCCCCCCGTGGGGCCTTGTCCCCAGTGTGGGGTTGGTCACTAGAGACGAGACAGAATGCCCTGAGCTCTGAAGGGAGCGCGGGACTTCTGGAGTCCATGCTGGCCTTTGAAGTTGAGGACTGATGGGGTCCGAGACGCCAACGGCTCCCCTTGGACATCTGACAATCTCACTGGACAAGCCTCAGGTAACCCTTAAAGTGACTAAAATTAATTTCTGTCTAAATCAGTGGTTGACTGAGCATGTGACAAGACAGAGGGGAGACATCTCTATCAGCAACTAACAGTTCTAGCAGCCACCCCGGACTCTGTTCTCCCACCCTCGCCTCCTACACTCAGGCGGAGGAAAACGGGCCCACAAGCAGTAACTACTGGGGACCCAAAGGAAGGTTGCTGTTACCAGATGGCAGGCCATTGTCCCCGCGGTCCTTGAGTGAGTCATCATAGATCAGTTGGAGAAAAATACTTTGTGCCTAGTCTAGACAGCCTTATCAATGGTGTTGCCTTAAAATGTGTTACTTGCACATAGCTAAATCCTAAAACCTTAGGCAAGGCCCCCTTAGGAATCAAATCCCGGAGGAAAGAAAAACTTGGGCAGTCTATGGTGTCTAATAGTTCAGTCTCTAGGTGAAATGAAGCAAGCTAATGTAAGACTAGCCTGGTTTTACTTTTCTTCAAAAAAAAAAAAAAAAAAAACCTTAAATAGCCTTGTTTCTATAAATAATTTAAAACAACAGTTAGAAATTAGGTACATGTAAATGGAGTAAATGTTTGTAATTGAACTTGTCTGTTAAATTAAGGTACTTTTTAATGTTAAACTTGTAAAGATAAAGAGAATAAGATTAAAAAAAGGGTTATGGCTGTAAAACTATTTCTAGTAAAAAAGGTTAAAAGAAAAAGGTGTTACATAAAAGGAATTTTGTGTAGTAAAGCTTTGTCTTTAGAACGGCTATCTCATAATAGAAGAAAAAGGGACAAAAATTAAAAGGTCTAAAGCATGTTGTTGAAAGTTCGAGTTATGAGAATCTAAGAGTTGCAAAAATTAATCAAGTTAATGTTCTAAAACTAATTGTACTAACATCTTTAAATGCAGTCCAGATGGGCCTCACATGGTCGTGCTGGCTGCTCCGACCACTGCTATTTAGCCTGGAGTTCTGTCACACCGAGGCCAAGAGGACTGCTTCCTTGGGCCCACCTGGGCCTTGGTCCACAAGATAAGCCAGGAAGGTTCTTCTGGGTAACACTTCAGAGACCAGAGAGCAAAGCCCTGCTCCAGCCACTCCAGAGGCTGACTGCTCTGCCAGGCATTGGCAGGAGCACGGCCCAGCAGCTCGACGACCAGATGGGCAGGGAGGGGACAGGCTGCTGCCGACTCATGGGACGGTTAGAGTGGCCGCTGGGAGTAGGCGCCTTGGCCCTTCCCGTTAAGTCCTCTATTAACCGCGCTTCTAATTTTGACTTTCTGTTCGAGTTTACTCAATTTCCTTACCAGATCCCATCTCTTACAGGATGAAAGCCAGTTATCTCTGGAGCTAGAGCCCAAATGTACCAGGCACTGCACCGCCAGCACGACTCTCCTTAACAGATATTTGAGGAGACTCAAAAGAGAGAGTGACACGGTTTCTGTTCCGTGAGAAATCTCGTTATTTCTGTGAGTACCTAACCAAATGCTGTCCTGCTTCCCTAAACTGCCCGCGATGCCTCGGGAAGGGTTGAATCACGACCTCCCTGTGAGCGACGGAACCTAGTGGCTGCATACCGTGATCGGCCCAAGCCAGTCCGACCAGACGCTCCCGCCGTGAGCAGCTGTGCCCAGCAACTGGAGCCCAGGAAATCAGCCCAGTCGGTTCAAACGGGACTTTAAACTCGGTGAAACTCCTTACCTGCCAAAGGAGACTATCACCCTGCTCGCTAACTGGTACTGAGGAATCAATGATTTGGTCCCCGCAAAAGAGAAGTGGGGACCGAAGCCTCCATTATAAACTGTTATGTTCCTGTAACTAGAAACTTGCCTTCTCCTTTTTGCCTAAAAATGACAGACACTCCTATTGTCTTTAAACCACACTCCTCCTTAAAATGAAGTCCAGTCACTGGACCTTGCCCAGAGACAGGAAGACCATTGAGATGCCACTGTGTTTAGGCAGGGACAAATACACCTTAGGAATAGTTAACCTCTTGTTCTGCTCTGTAATGCGCTTTTGCTTGCTTTTGCTTTCACATTGTAAAACCCTACCCCCTACCCTTCCAAGCCCACGGCTCTTTGTTCTTCTGATTGCTCTGCTCAGCCGGGAGGAATGTGATTTGTGCCTTTATAAGCGCCCCTCACCTTGCACTCGAGGCTGCGGGGTTTCGAGAGACCTGAATCCCCCTGTATGCCACCGGCTTAATCAGTAAACTTCAGTAAATCCGGCTGTGTCTGGAAATCCTCTAATTTCTCGCTGAGTAGACTGTAACAGGACGAGACGAAACGCAGGCACTTTGTGCTGGAAAAAGACCGTTCTTATTCCACCGAGATGAGCAACTGTGAGGGCCCGGCTGCTGTTGGAGAGGGCCAGGCTGTCGGTGAACAAGACGGCCACCAGGCTTCCTTCTTTTGGTGGTGGAAATTATTCTCCTGTCTCAAAAAATTGTATATAAGAAGTCACACATTGTGAAAAGGGCAGTGGAAGAAACAGCATGGGAAAGAGGATTTTCAGAATGATGTCATGTCACCCCCTCCTGATAGAAGCATCGTTATTTTGCCTTCTTTCCTCCTCCCTCTGGGAGGCCTGGCAACCTTGTCAATTTAAGTTGCAGCACCCCAGGCCCCAGCATCCCTGCACTACGCACAGTTCACTCTGCCCCTCCAGCCTGAGAGAGCAGCACCGAGGCCCTGCCCCTGCCTCTCTGTGCCGCTGTCCATCACTCTCCCAGCTACACCGTCAGTCCCACGGAGGTGGGGCCCAGTCTGTCTGCTTCACTCACTGAAGCCCGAGCCTGGCTCCATGAGGGACTTGGTGAGTATTGCTGAATTGCCACCCTTGAGAGCGGAAAGGAGACCCGGGAGCGAGGGCCTGGTGTCCCTTCACGATGCTCGCCAGGCCCTCCTGTTACTCACTGCTTGCTCCTAGTACTAGAACAGTGCCTTGGGCCAGCATGTAGCATTGTGGTTAAGGTGACTGGAACCCACATGGCCAGCTTCGTGGCCAAGTCCCAGATCTGGAAGCTTGAAAAACACCAGACACACGTGTGTACGTGCCCAAAACCCTAAAAGGGAATGAATAGAGGAGAAGGAATCGTGGCGTGCCACTCCCCAGGGGGTGTTCTCTTACCCTCTCACCCCACTCCCCGTCTCTCTCCAGTGAGCACGTGTGCCCTAGAGCAAAGTAAAACCAAAACAGCGCCTTGCTCCTTATTACACTGGAGAGAAATTGAAGGCGACACCCATCCGGGCCAGAGGGCCTGAGTGTGCCCACAGACCTCGAAGGCGCAGACTGCAGCTGCCCGCACTGCCCTGAAGAGTTAGTCACACGTGGGCCGCCAGCTCATCGACCCGGCGGTAATTAGCTGTGACCCCAGGCAAGTGGTAACCTCTCCAGAGTCCATTTTCCGCACTCTAAAATGGGATTGCTAAGGACTCTGATAACTATGAAAGACTGTTTAAGTCTGTTTGGATTTCACAACAGGAAGTAGGGTCCTGGGCATTTGAGGCTGCCCATCTGCGAGGTATCAGACACGGGATGAGCTCCGGGTTAGCAGAGACGGAGCATGCTCTATGCCAGACTCCGTGCGTGCAGGCACGGCCTGGCCACTTCCAAGCTGAGGGGCCTCGAGCGAGACACAGGCCTCTGGGGCTGTCTGCTCTTACAGGAGCGGGGGTAGTAACACTGTAGAGGCTTGCCTCGAGGGTTCACTGGGTCAATGTAAGGCAAGGTACACCGGTCCAGAGGTGCTCCCCTGGCACCTGCTGCCCCTGGACCCATGTGCCAGGCCCCATGCTCAGCACTCTGCGACTGGCCGTTTGACTAGCACAGTGAGGTGGCCAGCCTCTCATTGAGGATGGATCTGCGGCTCAAAGAAAGAACATAATTTGCCCTGAGTCCCACTTGGGGGCAGGTGGGAGTCAAACCCAGGAGTGCCTGACAGCCCATGCTTGTAACCACCTCCACAGGAAGCCTGCCTGGATGTCGCAGGGTTAGGAACAGGGCTAAAGCAGATGGCAGCTCAGGAGCCTTCCAAACCCGGATTCCCCGTGTTTTTTTTCTTTTCGGCTTTTTGCTATAGGGTGAGTGAGCTCTCCAGAGAGAGAGCAAGAAGTCGCCTTCCAGGGAGGATGGCCACACCTGATCTCTTCTCCAAGCTCCTCTTGGGATTGCACGTACACATGACTGGTGTGATGTTCAAGCTACTGGGTCCAGGACTCGAACCCTGCAGCCTGCCATGTAGAATCCAGCACCTTAACCATCATGCCACCTGCTGGTCATCTTCAGGCCACTTTTAAAGGAATAGCACAGGCAGTGGCACAGGTAGCAGGATAGAGCAGCCAGAGTCTGAGTGAAGGCGGAAGCACCTTAATCCACTCTTCCCTGGCAGGACCCTGTGTCATTCTGAAGCCAGGTTTGCAAGCTCCTGGCAACCAGTGTGAGGCTCTGGCTGACCCCCCCCTCCCCCCGCTCGGTCTTAGAAGGCTACATTAGATGTGAACATTCTGACAGATGTCCAGAGATGGAACAAATGTCACAAAAGCTCGCTCTTTCACCCAGACCCATCCTGCCGGTCCCGAGCTTGTTTCCTCTGTACCGTGAGGACGAAAACAGCTGTGGGGCAGCCTAACGTCGGAGGGCCGAGCCAGACTCAGCATGGGGCTTGGCACACAAACACCATGTACCTGAGATCTTCTGCCAAACCATCTTTTCCTGCACGTCCTCCCTCGTCGTCTTTTGAGCAAGCCACTTTGGAAACAAGCTACGAGGGTGGTCTGCAGACTGCGACAAGCCTTCCCTGGGGTCTCCCACCTTTCCGTCTGGGCGTCCTTCGGCATGGGCTCTCTGGGGCCCTTGGCCTTGTTGGTCCCCTTCCCGGGGTAGACTCTGCACTGAGGGACTCGGCTCCATCACCTGTCTCCCCAGCACCGATGTCTGGGTGAAGGAGCACCAGAGGAAAGCATGGAGACCCTGCAGGAGGTGATACCTGCTGTGCTGTGGGAAGAAGGCTGGCAGTTGGTGGGACTGCAGGGGGTGAGCCTGGGGCCTCCCTGGGAAGCGGCTGCTGGTGCCCGGCTGTGTCTAGGATGTCTGGGCCTCAGTCAGCCCTGACAGCCACGTGGAGGGCACAGACTCCAGACTGAAAAGAGGCCGCGGGACCCCAGCGAGAGGCTGTCGCGGCCGCCCAGGTGAAGTGCAGGGGCCAGATGTGGCCTGGCAGCTAAGGTGGCTGGATCCCACATGGCTGGCCTTGCAGTTCCTCCAGGATCTAGCAGTTTGAGGAGCACACCAGGCATGTGTGCATTCATGCCCCAAATCTCAAACGGCAGGAGGAATGGAGGAGGGACGGCAGTGTGACTGTGCCCCAGGGCGGAGGGGCTTTCTCTTCTCTGTCTCCTCTGTCTGGCAAGTGCACATATCTTCTGGAAAATTTTTTAAAAAAGAAAAATGCAGGTCTGATGAGGGCAGCCATGGGCTAGGGACAAGAGGCCAGATTCCAGAGACATGAAGGGGCAGGACTGGAACCAACTGGAGTGCGTGTGGAGTCCCCAGGTCCTGGCTCCATGATGGAGTCAACAGAGCTGGGTGCTCTGCACTGCAGGTTGATGTTCAAGAGCTGCCCAGTGGAGCCCGCCGTGGGTGGAGAGGCAGCTGGGCCTGACCCTACCGGGGCCAGAGGCCAGGGACCTGAGTGTGGAGGCTGCTGGGTCTGACCCCACTGGGGCAGAGGCCAGGGTCCTCGGAGCACGGAGGACTCCACAAGAATGGCCATGTCGCTCGCCAGAGTCCTGGGGCTTGTCTGAGTCAGGGCAAGCCCAGCACCAAGGTGGGGACAGGGCAGTGTGAGCGTCTGGGGTCCCAGAGGAAGGAGACTCTGGGAGGGGCTGGTCTGCGGAAGGACTAGCTTTTGTTTTCTTGTCTCTTTAGCTTGCTGTAGGGTGTGTGCACTCACCAGAGAAAGTGAAAAACCACCCCAGGGAGATGGTCATCACCACCCCTTCTCTGGTCTCCTCTCAGGATTTTGGGCGCATTCACACACGCACCTGGCATGGTTTTCGAGCCACTGGTTCAGGACTCAAAACATGCAATTGGCTATGTACGATCCAAGCCACCTGCTGGCCCAGGACTTTTTAAAGGAGCGCGACTGTGAGGGAGTCTTGACTCCTTGGAGAGAGCACGAAGAAAGAAAGCATTTTTAAAAATCACATTTATTGTGAGTTCTCTTCTAGTGCTTACAGTCATGTGCATGGCTCACTGCAGAAACTGGGGAACACACGCAAATACAGCAAATAAGACACGACTGTGAGGAACAGTGTAACGATGGTGTAACTGTCCCAGAATGCAACAGCTCCCCGGCCCTCAGCAGTCCTGCTTTCTGAGTTGCAGTTACCTGTGATAACCACAGTCCAGTGTTCCAGCGGGGAGGGAAACCATGCCCACACCGCGTTTGTTACAGTATGTTGTTAGGCTTCAGTCTCACTGCACACAATTTATAAGTTACACTTGATCACAGTTAAGTGTGTCTAGGAGAAAACAGGACAGGCCCATGGGCAGCTACTGCTCAGGAGGCTGGGGCTAGTGGGGGAGCCCGGCTCCCACTCCTGGCCAGCTGGATCCACCAGCAGCTGCACACTCCTGCAGTCTGCCTAAGTAGGAGGCTGGGGCAGCACAACGAGACAAGGCCAGCCTGTCAAATCCCTGTGGCTCCCCTCTCCCTATCTCATAGAGGGAAAAAATCAGAGGTACGTGAAAGGCTGAGAACTGTCCACATTTCTGACATCCACTGTGGGTCTTGGGACAAATCCCCTGAGCAATAGGGGACCATCGTACACCTTCCTGTCGCCTTTCTATATACGCACACCTGCACACCCACGCCGACACACATTTCCAAAAACCTGGGCTCCTGGGGCCAGCAGAAGGCACGGAGGTTAAGGCAGCTGAATCCCACATAGCCAGCTCTGTGGTTCAAGTCCTGGGCCCAGCAGCATGAAAATCATGCTGGATGCATGTGTGTGCATGCCTAGAATCCTAAGAAGAGGATAGAGAAGGGATTGTGGCATGGCCAGTCTTCCTGGGCAGTGATTTCTCACTTTTTTTTTCTCTCTCTCTGGCACATGCCTGTGCCCTGTAGTAAAAACTAAAAAGACAACAGGGACCAGCAGGTGGCGTAACGGTTGTGCTGCTAGACTCCCATGTAGTCGACTGTGATTCGAGTCCCAGACCTGGAGGCTTAAAACTCATACTGAGCATGTGTGCGTGCATGCCCAAGATCCCAAGAGAATGGAGAGATTGTGGCGTGGCCATGCCCCCAGGGGGTGATTTCTCGCTTTCTGCCTCTCTGGCGAATGCACACATCCTATAGCAAAATCTCTTAAAAAAAAAAAAAAAAAAAAAAAAAAAAAAAAAAAAAAAAAAAGACAAAAACGAAAACACTGGGTTTCTATTCTGCACCAAGCTGCTTCCTGAATGGCATGACGGCAAATACAAAATACACGAGGGAGTGGAGTACTCCGAAGTATAAATGTGCCAGAGATTTAAGGCAGGGCTTTATTTAAGAAAGCAGGAGGAACTTAAAAATGGTCTCCCATTCTGATGGAAAGAGGAAGCCTTCAGAGGTGGAACCAGAGGAGAGGGCCTGGGGCTTGCGCCTCTGGGCCCCGCAGAGCAGTGGGGTGGGTGGGCAGCATTTAAGGCCAGGTGGATGAGAGGCCTAGGCCGTTTATTTCTGAGTATTGCACTTCCTTCCCGTCCTTATCTTAGTGCCCATTTGTAATGGTTGTAAAACATAGGTTCACTTGAAGAAGGCTGAATAATTTTAAAAGGCAGAAAGAAAGTAAGTGACCCGTAATCCTAGCAGCCACTTAACACATCTTTCCTGGGAACTGTCACAAAACCAGTGAACACACCTGCCCGACTGCACAATACCAATAAGCCTGGTCCTAGCTGCGTGACCTAGCAGGTGGTTCTTCTTCTTCTTTTAAGTTTTGTCAGAGGGCATGTGTGCTCACCTGAGATTTTTCAACCCCCAGAGGGCATGTGCTCTGAGAGAAAGAGAAGAAAACAGAAAGTATCCCCCACCCTGACAGCACAGTCACACCCCAGTCCCGTCTCCATTTTTCCCTCCTTTTGAGACTTTGGGCACACATGCAAACACACCCAGCAGGTTTCTTAAGCCGCTGGGTCCGGGATTCAAACTATTCAACTGGACATGAGATCCAGCCACCCTCACCCATCACACCAAGGGCTGGTTCTTGGATGTGGTTCTAATAGGAGGAAGTCCACTGGGAAGCTCGGGGAGGTCTGAGGACATGTGACAAGGAGTCCAGGTGGTGTCAATGTCACCTCGCCCACAGACTCCAGCTCTGCGGTGGACGGGGGTGGTGGACAGCACCTGGTTCTGGCACCCCAGGTGGGAGTGGGGAAGGAAGAGCCCACAGCTCCTCACGCTGGCCTCACTCAGGGAGTGAGCACTTCCAGAAGCAGAGGCCTGGGGCTCACCCAGCCCCCAGAAGAAGCGGATCGGATCTGAACTCCTGCCCTGAAGGGACAGGAGGACAGTCCACACACCAGGTAGCGACTGTTTTCCCGAGGAGCCTCTGCCTTCGAGGAGCCCATGGCTCATCGAGAGAAGGGCCCACGGTCTTGCCCTAGCCGGCTTTTTCCTTCCAGGGTGTGTCTCTTCCTGTAGGTGCTCTGTCCCCACCAGCTCTCCGTGACTCTGGGGCACTTCCAGCTGTAGGGAGAGCTGTCACTCCGCTGGCTTTGTTAAGGAGTCAAGCATAGCATCCTTTCTTCTCTTTCAAACACACTTCTCACCTTCAGTCCTATTACACTGAGCTGGCTAAGGGCCCCTGCGCTGGGGAAAGGCAGGGACTGAAGCGCTGGTCCCCATCAAGGCTGGGAGCAGGACAGCGGAGGACGGGTGGTGGAAGAGGAAGGTGCAGAGACAGCAAGGACACACACAGAAGCTGCAGACAGGTGGCCAAGTCCAGGCCCAGTCCAGGCCAAGGGCTCCAGGGGAGGAGGCTCCTGCCCAGGAGGCGTGGGGGTGGGGCTGAGATGCCTGCCCAGCACCTTAGAATTCTTTTAAGGCTTATTTCATTAACAAGTCACTGATGCACATAATACACAATTCAACAGATAATGAAGTTCCCTTACATTTTCATGCAAAATCCTTATAAAGTGTAAACAAGTTATTATCATTTTTTCAATATCTTTAATCGCCAGAGGGCATATGCTCTCACCAGAGATGGAGATGAGAGTGAGCACCTCCCCACGGGGCGTGGTCATGCTGTGCCTCCTCCATCTCCCCACCCTGCATAAGTACCTGCTTCTGTCCCCACCAGCTCTCCGTGACTCTGGGGCACTTCCAGCTGTAGGGAGAGCTGTCACTCCGCTGGCTTTGTTAAGGAGTCAAGCATAGCATCCTTTCTTCTCTTCTCTTTCAAACACACTTCTCACCTTCAGCCCTATTACACTGAGCTGGCTAAGGGCCCCTGCGCTGGGGAAAGGCAGGGACTGAAGCGCTGGTCCCCATCAAGGCTGGGAGCAGGACAGCGGAGGACGGGTGGTGGAAGAGGAAGGTGCAGAGACAGCAAGGACACACACAGAAGCTGCAGACAGGTGGCCAAGTCCAGGCCCAGTCCAGGCCAAGGGCTCCAGGGGAGGAGGCTCCTGCCCAGGAGGCGTGGGGGTGGGGCTGAGATGCCTGCCCAGCACCTTAGAATTCTTTTAAGGCTTATTTCATTAACAAGTCACTGATGCACATAATACACAATTCAACAGATAATGAAGTTCCCTTACATTTTCATGCAAAATCCTTATAAAGTGTAAACAAGTTATTATCATTTTTTCAATATCTTTAATCGCCAGAGGGCATATGCTCTCACCAGAGATGGAGATGAGAGTGAGCACCTCCCCACGGGGCGTGGTCATGCTGTGCCTCCTCCATCTCCCCACCCTGCATAAGTACCTGCTGTGTTTCTCAGGCCCCACTGGGGTGGGATTTGAACGAGGCCATGTGGGACCTGGCTCCCTTAACCACTAGGTTACGGGGCCAGCCTAGGAAGTTACCATCTTTTAATGCCACCTGGCTGGTAGCAGGCCGAACCCTTCTGGGGGAGGGACTGCACCCTCTTCCTACCACACAGATGGCTTCCTGTCCAGAGATGGGATGGTGCTATTCCTCCTTCCAACCCCCAACGCCCCCCAAAGGCCAGTCCAGTCCCCAGCCATGGGGTGTCCACCGGCCCAGACATTTGCCACGGTAGGAGCCTCACAAAGGGCAGTCTAGCCATTCACAAGCTGGGAGGCAGTCCGTGATGAGCTTGCAGGCCAGGCTGCCTTCCTGGGGCCGCTTCCCTAACAGCCGGGATAAGACACGGTGGTGGACTCCTTGGCCGATTTCCATGGACACTCGACGTGGTGTCCTAGCTCCTCACGGGGGCCAATTCATCGCACAGGCTGTGGTGAGCACACCATCGGCACAAAGCAGGGTCCGCACATGCGGGCGTGCAGTCACAGACAGTGCAGAAGTAGCTGCAAAGTTCAGAAAGGCCTAACACACGGAAGAGTTTCCTACACTTGCCTCCAACATGACTCAGGAACTGTTCTTCGCGGGCAAGGCAGGAAGGCGGAGTGCCAGCCCACCAGCAGGTATTTTGCTGCCTGAGCAGGAGCACAAGCTGGTCTTGAAGATGGACCACGGAGTGGCCTTGTCCCTGTCCTATACTGGACAGTCCACAGGGTGGGTGTCCGGGCCCACCAGGAGCCTAGCCATGCCAGTCATGTGCTGCTTTGTGTGGGAAAGCCTGCTGGCCACTGGCCGGTGTCTGGGATCTGAAACGAGTGACAGCAGCTGGGGCAG